CTTATTACAAATAAGTTCATTTCTGGACATTTACGCTTCATTTCTGGACATTTATGGTTTGATTTCTTTGTATGTATGGATCACTTGGGTTGTTACCAACATCTGGTGAAAATTTCATGTCATTAGCACCTCTAGTAATATATTTACTGAGAAAAATGGTGACGTGTTCAATACTTATTTTACCCGCTGTATAAACTGACCTGTACGATTTATTGTTTGTACTGGACTGGTGTTCGTATGTATCAAACTGTATATGTGTACGTTCAAATCATAGGAGGGGCTGATATTTAAAAAATGCTACAGAGCCTATTTTTACAGGAGCACAGATCAGAGGTCACAACAAGCTTGTTACTACTTGTGGGTTCTCATGTGTAGTTTTAAATAGCCTTTTTCTGCAAACCTTCTCCCACACAGCTCACAGCAAAATGGCTTCTGTCCTGTGTGGGCTTTCATGTGTCTGTTTAAATAAACCTTTTGGCTAAACCTTCGATCACACAGCTCACAACAATGTAGCTCCTGTCCCGAGTGGACTCTCATGTGTAGATTTAAATCTCTCTTTTGGATAAACTTTTGCTCACACAGCTCACAAGAGAACATCTCAGGCTCTGTGTGGGTCTTCATGTGTTTGTTCAAATAAACCTTTAGGCTAAAACTCCGCCCACACAGATCACAAGACAATGGTTTTTGAGGTGTGTGGATTCTCATGTGTGTGTTTAAATAGCCTTTTCCAGAAAACCTTTGCCCACACAGCTCACAAAAGAACGCCCCACGTCCTGTGTGGATCCTCATGTGTTTGCTCAAATAGACCTTTAGGCTAAACGTTCGCCCACACAGCTCACAACAAAATGGCTTTGGACCTGAATGGCTTCTCATGTGGGATTTTAGATAGGCTTTCTCGATAAAGCCTCGCCCACACAACTCACAACGAAATACCTCATGTGCTGTGTGGATTCTCATGTGTTTCTTTAAATTGAGCTTTTGAGAATAGCTTCGCCCACACAGACCACAACAAAATGGCTTCTTTACGTTGTCGTCTTCAGGTTTTGACCCTGATGAATGTTTCAGCTGAGAGTCAGGCTTGTTCACATCATTTTCCTCTTCATCATCCTCACTGATTTCAGTTTCTGAGGAGTCAGAATCATCTTCATAATCCTCACTGTCTTCAGTTTCTGAAGAGTCAGAATCATCTTCATGAGTACTCAGATCTGGGACACTCATAGTTTCTGATTCAGAGGACTCTCCACCAGTTTCTGATTCCAGGTTGTCAGCTGAGCTGCTGGTTGGAAGATCTCTGCCTTCAACTTGTTGATGAAGTTGTAAGAACAGAGGTTTATCTTCATCATCCTCTGGCTTCAAAGGAACTGTAGTGAATGAGAAACCAGTGTCACCAGTCTCCTCCTTCACACTGAGCTGCTCTGCTCCCAGACTGCTCCATCKTTCTTCATCTTCCTCTTTTATGTGGAGGTGTTCTCGGTCCTGCTGGTTCGTATAAAGCCCTTGTTCCTCGGGAGCTTCTTCTTTAATCTGCACCAACTCCTGAACATCTGCAGGAACCACTGAAACACATGAACAGTACATTAGGGAGAACAGTAGCTGTATATTCACACTTACATCTCTTGTTGGACTGCTCAGGTTATTGAGTAGTTTTAAAACAGTTTTCAGGACTAAACTGTAGCCAGAGACACCGACTGCAGCGCATTGTACGCTCTGCTGAGAAGGTGATCGGCTGCAGCCTCCCATCTCTCCATGACCTGTACGTCTCCAGGACTGTGAGGTGAGCAGGTGGGATCACAGCTGACCCTTCTCACCCTGCAGCCTGTTCATACCACTCCCCTCAGGCAGAAGGTTTCGTTCCATTCGGACCAGAACATCCTGCCATAAGAACAGTTTCTTCCCCTCTGCTGTCAGACTCTTGAACATTTAGAATCACACGACTATAACTCTGCTTAGGCCACTTTATCACTGGATCTAACTGCAGTACTCCAAATATATTGTTTGCTCTGATTACTGTATTGAACTGTGTACATGTGTTTTGTATATTTTATAATTGTTTCAACTTTTTTCCTTTGTATTTTCTTTGTAATATTTTATACTTATTGCACCTTTACACTGAAGCAAATTCCTAGTCTGTGAATCCTGTTCATTGACAATGGAAACTAGATACCTCATAGCGGTAACATAATGACCCCCGCACACAGAAATGCACCAGAACTCAGAAGTCTTTATTCCTAATAAATGTCATGCTACTAGGTGCATCCTAAAATTGTAGTGGTTTGGATGGAGGACTTTTTTGGGTGGGGTGGGGTGTGGGGGGGCATTGGTTGACCTGATGGATAGCCCCTCATCAGAGCTAAAAACAAAAG